CCACTTCCAGCTTTTTCTGTGATTTAATTGGAGATAAGAGTCTCACAGACTTTCCTGTCCAGGCTGGATTTGAACCTCAGTCTTCAGTTCTCAACTTCCTGAATAGCTAGGATTACAGGCATGAGCCATTGGCACCCGGCTGAACTATCTGTCTTTATTTCTCCCAATAAAATAATAGTGATTAGCAATGAACAGTATATTTGTAGAATGGAGATTGTATTTATATTGTTCTCATTTTCCTGTGACCATTTATAGAAACCAGAATTTAAAGGTAGCATAGCATATCTAACCTTTCTGTGCATTTCTGATGCTGAACAAAAACTGGTTATTTTCAATATGATTTGATACATAAATGTACTTATTGAAATATGTTAATGCTTTTTTTCTTTCAGTGGTTCCAGGTATAAAAAAGTTTTAGTACCCTCGTCATTGTGCTGATTTTCTCTTATTAGGAATCATGATAAATATCCAGCATACGAAGTGCAGTGAGTTATGATCTATACTCAGTAGTGATTTAATCCAGAGTTATCATCACTTAAATATTATGTGTTAGGAAAAGCTTTAAGTTTTAGAGGTAGTCATCTGGTTTCCCATAGTTAATGTTGTATAATAGTCATCTTTGTTTTTACCAAATGACCTTAAGTAACACAGAAAGTGTTAGAGCTTACAAAACTAGAATCTCCCACATGCTAGATACTTTACTCAACATTATATGCTGTTATGTACTAAAATAATGGGATGATTTTGACTCCCGGTACCAATGGTAGCTGTTGTAGTTTTACTTCTGTTTCTGATCTGTGGGAGTACAGTCTGATGAACACAGCTTGCAGTGTCATGCCTCTGGCCAGCAAAGAGACGATAAGAAAGTTACAGCTCACCTGTTCTGTGCCTTCTTTCCACAGTGGGTAGTTGGTTTTCATTTTCACTGGGCAGTAACCCTTCTTTACATAAATTAACTGCCACTTCTCTTATTCCAGTTCTCTTTTAGGATAAAGTACTTTAAAATTGTCTGATCAAGTTCTGTTTTAGAAATATTTATGTAAGGGCAAAGGAAGTACTCATTTTATGTGTTAAAACATGGTTCCTTTTTAGAATGAGTCAGTTTTTAAGGTAAATTTTAAGACAAGGGAAAAAAAATTTAGGGACACTTAGTTATTGCTTACATGAAATAATGACACCGAATTAATGTTATACTATGAATCATCATAACAGATGCAGACTAAAAGTTTTGACAATGTACCTATTAAATTGATTTGGCAGTATATTGTACTTAAATTGTTTTAAAATGAAATGTTTTCTACTTGTTTCTGTCTCACAGTTGTTATCTTATTTCACTTTGTTTGCAGAGAACGATCTCCTCAGCAGAATGTAGTGTCTTACGTCAGTGTGAGTACCCAGACAGCTTCAGATGACCAGGCTGGTAAATTATGGGATGAGCTCAGTCTGGTTGGCCTTCCAGATGCCATTGATGTCCAAGCCTTATTTGATCCTACAGGTAGGGGGCTCTCTTCAGTAATAGTTGTCTCTTGATTTGGGAAACATTTAAATTTCACACATCGTCAAGTCATTCAATAGTAAATATTTTGCATTCAGAAGTAAGTAGGATCATACAAAAGTGATCACTATTACGTATACCAGACTAGGTTAAAGAAAGTCTGGGGCTGGGAAGGTGGCTCAATGGTAGAGTGCTTGCCTCACATGCATGAGGCCCTGGGTTCGATTCCTCAGCACTACATAAACAGAAAAAGCCAGAAGTGGCACTATGGCTCAAGTGGTAGAGCGCCTGCCTTGAGCTGAAGAGCTGAGGGATAGCGCCCAGGCCTAAGAGTTCAAGTCCCATGACCCCATGACCGACCAAAAGAAAAAAAAAAAGAAAGACATTTGTCTGTGGGGTTGGAAGCATGGCTCAGTTGGTAGAGGGCTAGCCAGTGCATGAAAGTACCAGGCACTGAGTTTGAGTCATGTTTATCTAGTTTATTTAAGACCTGCCCAGTATTAATACCAGACTGGATCTTTGTAAATACTTATATTTACTCTGATGTAGGTAATATTGCCATGGATGCTTGATGGTTGAGGAAAGAGAAAATTTTAAAGGGATAGTATGTTTCCTGTGGGAAAGAAGGACAGCAGGACTTTGCTCTATGAGCAGTCCCTCACTGTGTGTGTGTTTTTTTGTGTGTGTGTGTGTATGTGTATGTGCGCGCGCATGTGCGCACACACCTGCCTGCTTATCCTAGGCTTCAACTCAGGGTTTGGGTGTTGTCTCGTAATTTTTTTGCTCAAGGCTGGCACTCCACCACTTGAGCCACAGCTACACTTTTTTTGTGGCTAATTGGAAATAAGAGTCTCACTGCCTTTCCTTCCTGGGTTAGTTTCAAACCACAATCTTCAGATTTCAGCATCCTGAGTAGCTAAGATTACAGGCATGAGCCATTGGGCCTAGTTTGGTCTTTATTTTTATTTTAACAGTGGAGTAACTCACACTTAGGATTTGGTGTTGTAGGGAATTTAAGTCAGTCTCATGTTACAGTTGAACTTCAGAGTGATTGATAGTGGTTCAAATGCTCTGTGGTGGAAAATTTAAAGACTGCGCTGTTAATGATAACTTATGTGTGCTTTTGCTCAGAATGCAAAATGTATGCGCCATTAATTCTCCATATATCCCTTTGTCATCAACGAAGTATTAAGTAATGTTTTTTCATTTACATAACGATATTAAAGCAGTAATATTTGAATAAGAATGACTAAACATTAATTTTGTTAAAGAAATAATCATTAGCATTATTTCTCAAACTTTCATATACATTAGAATCAAGGCCTGTCAAGTGTAGGTTACTAGGTCCCACCACAGGCATTTAGATTAAGCGGGTCTCGGTTCTGTCCTGAGATTCTGCACCCCTGCCTAGTTTCCAGGTTGGCATTGAGGATGCCAGGTCAGTCTGGACTGTAGCTCAAGAAAGGCTCATTTAATCCTACCACAGATACAGAATGCATTGTGCATTTACAGACTTGATTTTGAAGTTTGATGTCTCCATGGGTTGTGCTACCATTTTGACCTTTGTGTGTTTGCTCTTTTCCTGTTTCAGGCACTTGTTGGGCTCATCACCGTTGTGTGGAGTGGTCACTAGGAGTGTGCCAAATGGAAGAACCATCATTAGTGAATGTGGACAAAGCTGTTGTCTCAGGGAGCACAGAAGTGAGTAGAAGACACGTTTAAACTATACTTTCCTAACACTGACTGCATCCAACATATATAGTCCCTTGGACAAATTATGCACTAAATGATTACTATAGGAACTCAGAAGGTGGCTCAGTGGTAGAGTGCTTGCCTTGCACGCATGAGGTCCTGGGTTCGATTCCTCAGCACCACATACACAGAAAAAGCCGGAAATGGCACTGTGGCTCAAGTGGTAGAGTGCTAGCCTTGAGCTGAAGAGCTCAGGGACAGCACCCAGGCCCAGAGTTCAGGCCCCATGACCACCCCTTCAAAAAAAGATTACCATAGTATTGAGCTCTTCAAAATATGAAACTTGTAATTTATAGAATAATTTGTACAAACTACAACATCATAGTATGTTCAGCTACTCAATTTAAATCTTCAATGTTTTGCCCAGAAATACACATTTTTTGATATGGAATTACCTGTATTTATAGCCATGTGATTACTGTTTTGTTGTTGGCCAGTGCTGGGGTTATTTTTGGATAGGGTCTCTCGTGTCAGATAGGTTCTTTCCAGCATTTTGGATTTCAGTCTTTCCAAGTAGCTGAAATTACAAGCATGAATCACCATGCCTAACATAATTGTGAAGGTGGGTCTTGATAACTTTTTTCTATGTTCTGGTCTCAAACTACAGTTCTCCCAGTTTCTGCCTCCTGTTATTCCGAATAGCAGGAGGCAAAAACCACCAAGCTAGGCCATGTGGTTACTTTTAAAGAAACATCCTTTTTTTTTTTTTTTTTTTTGTGGGGCTTGAACTCTAGGCCTGAGTGCTGTTCCTGAGCTCTTCAGCTCAAGGCTATCCACTCTACCACTTAAGCCACAGAGCCACTTTGGCTTTTTCTGTTTATGTTGCTGAGGAATTGAACCCAGGGCCTCATACATGCAAGGCAAGCAATCTACCACTGAGCCACCTTCCCAGCCCCCGAATATACTTGCTATTCTAAAAATTATAATATTTCTTTATCAGTTAATCTTTTTGGCATTATCCCAAAGTGATATTGCATGGCCTGCCATTTTTCAGAGCTTTTATGTCTTTCTTCATGTGATTACAGAATAATGAAATAATTACCACTGTCTATAAAGGTAGGTAACTCTGTGAAGTGATACTGCTTAGTTACCTGCAAATTTTCTTTTAATTATTTTTTAAATTATCATAAGATAGTTGTACAAAGGAGTTTCAATTCAGCATGTCAGTTTATGAGTACTTCTTTCATTTTTGACAAGTCTCATGAGACAGCCTTCTTAAAGGAAGTTTAACATGGATATTTTAACCACAGAAACAATATAGGTAAAGTTTTCAAAAGTATTGATAAGAGAAGAACTTAGATTCAAGCAATTACCTCATTACTATTACATTAGCTTTTCTCAGAGTATCAGAATGACCTTATCCATGTAGTTAAGTAGCTGTCACCTTAAGAGACAAGTAAAAAAGGCAGCCCCTTCAACAAATGGTGCTGGGCCACTATGGACACCTGCAGGTGACTGACACTGGAACATAGTTCTCTCCTGTACAAAACTCAATCCAAATGAATCAAAACACTCAAAGTGATGAGACCTGAAACTTTTAATTATTACAGCAAATATAGGGAAATCCCTGGAAGTAGTAAGGATAGGCAGTTATTTCTGAATAAGATTCACTTGCTCTAAAATTGACAAATGGAGCTACATCAGCTTAGCAGTTTCTGCACAAGAAAAGAAACAATTTCCAGTACCAAGAGAAAAACCTACGAGTGAAATTCTTTACAGTTATTCAATAGATAAAAGATTAATATCCATAATATATAAAAAGCTCAAAAATTGGAACATCAAAAGGATAAGTAAACGGGCAGGAGAATGAGACAATTCTCAGGAGAAATACAAATGGCTAGCAGATAGATGAAGAACTGTTCAGTATCCTTAGCCAGAAAGGAAATGCAAGTCAGAACTACACTCAGCTCTAGTCTCAACCTAATTGGAATGTCAAGCATCAAGGAAACAATAACAAATGCTGGTGAGGATGCCAGGGAAAAAGGAAATTTCATACAACTACTGTGGAAGTCAGTATGGAATGTCCAACAACAAAATAAACACACCTTCCTTACTACTACCCACCATCCCAATATCGGGCATGTATCTGAAAAAGTGTTAATCAGTATACTGGAAAGACTCTTGCATACCTGTGTTAATTATAGCACTGTTCACCATACCCAAGTGGTGTAATCAAGTCTGACAACAGATGAATAGATAAAGAAGATGTGGTTATGTATACCATGGGATATCACACATCCACAAAAAAATGAATTATTTCATCTACAGGAAAATAGGTAGAGGTAGGAAAACATCATGTTGAATGAGAGAAGCCAAGCTCAAAGAGCCAACTATTGTTTTCGCTCATATGAAGAAGCTAGACTTATCAGTGGCTCCTGTCTGTAATCCTAGGTACTCAGGAGATCTGAGGCTTGTGTTTTGAAGCTAACCCTGGCGGAAAAGTCCATGAAACTTTTAATCTCCAATTAACCAGCCAAAGGCAGGAAGTAGAGCTATGGCTCCAGTGATAGAGTCCCAGCCTTGAGTAAAAAAGCTCATGGGCAGCACCCAGGCCTGGCTGAAGCCCCAGGATTAGCACAAAAAAAGTAAGGTGGAATGGTTAATGATGTTGAAATATAATACAACTATAGATGGCATGAACCTCAATGATAGCTGTTTATCAAGAGGAGCTGGGGGTGACAGGAAAGAGAAAGCAGTGGCAAAGATTATTTTGAGCAAAACATAGTGAATGCGTGTATCAGATACTATGGTGAAACTCCTTGGTGTGATTAGCACTGAATGAAGAATGATAAGAAAGTAAAGCAGGCTCCGATGGGATAGGAAACCAGAGAGGGGGCATGGATGAAGAGGGGAAATGGGAATGAATATGACCAACGTAGTTGGTTTGCATGTAGGACAAGGAAATCTGTTGAAATTGGGTTTTTTTTTTTGAGATTAAGTGATTACGTATATTTCGCAGTACTGTGGCCTAGTTATACTTAGCTGAAGTCACAAACACATTTTAACCTTCATAATGATATTCATCATTATCTTAATCTATAAAGCTGATGAACTCTGAGAACTTTAATAATAAAACTGTTTCTTCCAAGTCGGGTGATGTGTGCATTTCTTTCCTTTTGCTTACTATCAACTGTTCCCTCTTCCACTCTCATTCCCTCCCTCCTGTCACCACCTTTGAGTTGCTTAGTTCGTTCTCATGGATGTCCAGGGCAGCTGATGGACCCCTCTGCTGTATTTTTCACCATTTTCCACTGGTTCTGTGCCCTCCTCCCAGCTTCCCTCGGATGTGCACATGTATCTACCATGCATGAGGTAAAGAATAGAGTCATCTAAAAAATGATATGACAAATTAAGAAGAGGTCCTTTGTTTCTTTGTCTTTGGGATTCTTTTCAGTCTGTATATTATTTTATGCACATATGAGGAGGTGCTTGGGAATTACATTTTGGTGTTAGTCTTCCAAGACTGACCTCTTTTGGTTTTATTGTGTATGGGTATCTTGAGTCCTGTTTACTATCTCGTTGTGTTTTGAATATAACATCTGCATATTAGGGAGACCATGTGCCATTTGTCTCTTTGATCTTGACATATCTGCTCAATATGATTTGTTCTGGTTTCATCTATTTCCCTGTGAATGCCATTATTTTACCCTTTCTAATGGCTGTGTAAAATTCCATTGTATATAGGTACCACAGTTTTTGGATCCATTCATCTGTGGTGGGTCATCTGGGTCATTTCTTTATCTTGGCTATTGTGGACAGTGCAGCAATGAGCATGGAGGTGCTGCATGTGTCTTTGTTGTTGTTGAAATTGTTTTAAGATGGAGAATGGGATAGGAAAAGTGAAGAGAGACAGTGAAGTTAATTGGAATACATTGGTTATGTGTGTGTGAAAATGTCACAACAAACTCCCCTACCCCAAGCAACAAATGTATGTTATGCTAATTAAAAATAATACAAAGAGTAGTCAAATAAAGTTGGTGCTATAGCAAGTTGGAGATAAGAGAATCTCAAGCTTGGCACTGGATTGGTCTATCTAGAAGAAGGCACCTTGCTCTTCTCTTTTTGCCTTCAAAAAAAATCAAGTCAGAGTATTTGCTTTTAGAAATTTGATATTACATTTAAATGTGTTTGTTACCCGGTTTTCAGCATATAACGAAATTATGCATTATAAAGAACATGACCCGATAAAGATTGTGACACCAGATGAGAACATTATCTTTTGTTGACCACTTGACAGTGAAGGAACACAGTAAGGTAATGAACAGAGTCTCAAACAAACTTTGTGTTGTCAGATAGAACCAGAGGAATCAATGTAAACTCAGGGTGATTTTTGGTTTGGTTTGGTTTGGTGCATTCCTGGGGTTTGAACTCAGGGTTTGGGCACTGTCCAAGTATAGGACTCTACTGCCACTTGAGCTTTTAGGGAGATAAGAGTTCCATGGACTTCCTGCCTAAGCTGGCTTTTGAACCATGATCCTGATCTCAGCCTCCCGAGTAGCTAGGCTTACAGGTATGAGCCACCAACACCCGACTGAACCATGCTAATATTAGTGGGAAGGATAGTAAGGAAAAGTCTGTGGCTAAATCAGCACACTCTTCCTGCTCTTATGGTGATGGTTCATTTTCCTGAACAATTGCTTCTCTATTTGATAAATATACACATACCTGCATAGAACATCCCCAACCTAGAAGTCTGAAATGTTTCAACTTGAACTTTGAATGTCAACTAAATTACCAAATTATATGCATATAGTTTATATGAAACAACCCTTTATATTTAGATTTGGGTCCTGTTGGCAAAATATCTGTACATATGTAAATGCTCCAAAATCTGAATCTGAATAATGTAATATTGTAAATACTGAAATACTGTACATACTCCAAAAATCCTTAATCTGAAACACTGCAGGTGTCAGATATTTCAGACAGTGTATATGTGAAGTGTGCTT